ACAGCTGGCTGGGGAATTCTGGGAGTTGAAGTCCACCCATCTTCCAGTCGCCAAGGTTGAGGAACCCTCCTCTCGCTTGGAAAGAGCTCAGGGTAGCCTATCCTATAAATTGATGGATCATGTGCCATCAGCTGGTTTTCTTTTTCTAAAAATGTTTTTATAAACATTATACTTCCGCCTTTCTTTCTGTTGAGTAAGTGCCATCTTACTCTTCCCCCCTCCCCTTTTAACCCTTTCCAATCCCCAAATCCATAAACGTGCCAGTCTTTTCTTTCGGCAAAAAGTCCGTACAAGGCTTCCCATCTTCGTGGTCTTTTTGCTGTCCAGTAGTGACCACACAGATAGATTTTCTCCAGGACAATCTGTCCCTAGCCTGGTCTTTCCGCTCTTCCAACAGAGCCCCCATCGCCACTGTATCTGTGTCTGTCCCCCCTTGCTGCTGGACATCCTCCTCTTCTCTTTCCTTCCACCTTTCCCAGCATTATAGACGCTTGGAGCTAGATCTTCATGTTGATTAATTATGTGCCATCAGGTTGGTGTCAATTCTTATGACCAGAGATAGATTTTCTGCAAGACGATCCGTCCCTAATCAGGCTTCAGCTCTTCCAATGGCACCCCATGGCCACTGTAACTGAGCCTCCCCACCTTGCCACTGGTCGTCCTCTTCTGCTCCTTCCTTCCACCTTTCCCAGCCTCAGAGCCTTTTCCAGGGAGCTGAGTCTTTGCATAATGTGTCTGAAGGAGGATACTATAACTATATAAGCATAAACATTCCTGTGGGCTTCCTCCCAGAAGTTCCCTTTATCTGCATTGTGCATTTGAACGTTTTCCGATGTTTCAGAAGTAAAAAGGATTAAAAGAGCGATTCTTGAGCCTGGAAGATGGATTGCACTTGATGTTTCACTGGCATGCAAAGTTGTGCTGGTGGCATGGGGTGTCATACGCCCCAAAGGAGGCAGTGCCCAAGGCAAACGAACTGTGATACATGAACATTGGATTAAGCAAGGTAATATTATTCCCATCTATATTGTAATTTTCCATTTTTGGGGGGGGATAGAATCAAAAATTAAACTTTGCTGGTAACTTTTGGAGGAATTCCAAGGACTGCATCCATGGCTTTTGAGGGTCCTATTAGGCCTTGGGGCCTTAGAATGTGCATCTTTGGATGGATGGATGTATTCAGAGCAAAAATAAACTTGATTAGACTGTTCAAAAACTGAGTACTCTGCAAAGCCTGCGGATTGGAAAGCATAATTTAAAGGAGTCTTTTCCTCCCCTGAATTTCCTGCATGACAGTGCTTCTTTCAGTATGCACAAAATCTGCCGTTACATCTTTAACTGAGTAAAACGTGTATATTTTTTTCTTCCATATTTGTTTCAATATAGGCATTTTTGCACTTAATGCTTGTCTAAATCTCAACAGACGTCGTGACATCAGCCCTGTATTTTCTCAAGGAATTCACGCATCCTTTCACAAGCAGTGCCGATTTATTTATGAATCGAATTTATATATTTTATTCATTCCAATGCAAATCAGAATATAGTTTGGACCCTGTGTTCTGATCTGGCCATAGGTTTGAGGGGTGGGGTTTCTGCTAGGTCTTTCTGCTCCTTTCTAGAAGAGGAGAATCAGGGCAGCTGCAATAAATGGTCCCTAAATCTGAATGTGAATTTATGGCAGTCTGTCCAGATGTTGCTTCTAGCAAGTTTGTTCTCTCTGCCCAACACAGCTGATTCTTCTCTTGCTGCATTGAAGTGCAGAATTCGAGCTAGGATGACCTACGCAGCAGGTGCCTGATGGTAAATACTGCCTCTAAAGCAGGAGACAACCTACTTTGGAGCCCTAATATGTCCAGAACTGCCAAGCTGTTGACCTTCCTTCATTTTTAATTCTGTAAAAATTAAACTGGCATGTTGCATTGCAAAGCTCCAACTTCTGCCATGGTTTCTATCTCTGGGAGCCCCTTGGGTCCCACAAAATAAAAAAAAATGGGATACTGTAACCTAGGGCTTTGCTCAGAAGGCCACCACAAAGGGACAGAGCATCTGAGTGAAAGGAAGGTAGCAGAGAAAGAGGAAGCTCACCAGGGAGTTTTGGAACTTGGGGGGGGGCAAGCACAGCATGGTTTTGGGAATAAGCCAGCTTCCTCTCAGCAGGCACTTGGCCAGGGGTACCCACAAGATCCCACATAGACCCTGATCCAAAGCAGTTGCCTATGGATACTCAAGTCTCCCAACTCCTTTGCGACGGGCAGGTGCTCCGCCAAATCCTTCAGGCCCAAGGGAGATCATCGCTGTCTTTACAAGACAAATTGTCAGCTTTGGCGGAAGCTACCAAACTGGAACCTCCTCATTAGCAGATCCCCAGAGAAATTCCTGCTCTGCAAGAGCAATCCCAGGGGCCATTTTGTTGCTTGTCAGAAACCTCACCGGGAGCTGTAGCAGGAATTCTTGCCAGATTTTTTGCCAAGAATTGGTTTTCTGTTTCAGGTGTCCTTTACTCAGTGCTGTCACAAGTTAAATCAGATGAATCTGGTGGCAGCTCTTTTGTTAAATTCGCAAAAAAAATAAAAATAAAAGCCCCTTTCAGGGGAAGGAGGGATATACAGGTAGTCCCGAGTTTAAGAAAGCCCAGGTTACAGATGACCCATAGTTCAGAATGGAGTCTATTGTGGCAAAATTTGAGTTAAATGCACAATGGTTTGAGTTCATTACACACTACTACTTTTACAGTATTATACAATAATACTGTTCTGGCTTACATACAACTTTGACTTAAGGACAGACCTTGGGAACAGAACTCATTCTTAAATTGGGGACTACTTGTATTAAAGGAGGTTCTGGGAATATACAGATAGACTTGAGATATGTTGTGGAATAAAATACTAGCTCAACGTAATGCAGGTTAGTGGAATATGTGGTTGATACTTTTACTAAAATAGAGTTTTCATTAACCAGCAAATGGGACTGCATGGTAGCACCATAATCTTAGTTTATTTGTAAACCATCATGGCTTAGTGCCAGGTTTTTCAAACTGTGTTCCATGGAACCCTAACATATGAGAGTTCACTTGAATTCAGCCAATTTTCTATCACTAGAGCTTTGCTTCTGGCAGGAGTTCCAATTTTTTTTTTTTAAACTAATAGGTTCTATGGGCTGAAAAAGTTTGAAAAGCCCTGGCTTGGTATATTAGATGAACACTGCCAACGGAGCCTTAGACCAGCTAAAGCAAACCCCACTTCCCTTAGTGCTTGAGATGTCCAAATTATCAAATGCACTTGGCTTCAGGAATATAGCAATGAGGCATCTTATGCTTGCTTGCTTAGAATTCCACGTGCTTCTTCCAGTGGAGCAAACCCCTAGCAGAACAGCTTTGTGCTTCTGCCACCATAAAACAGGCTTGGCACCTGCACATCTCTGTAGCCTAAGCAAACAGCTACTGACCATCTCTGCAGTCTGAACATATCATACCTGAAGAAATGGGCTATTACAGGCTGCTAACTTGTGAACTGGCTGCTGTGCTGATTTGCTCAAATGCACGGCGACCGCTTCTACTAGATAGTGTCTGGGGACCTCTGCTGGAGGCTCTGTTCACTAATGGGTCTGAATATGGCTTTGTAACACTCAGAACGTGCCTCACTCACAAACAAGGTGACTAAGGGTCTGTTGTATTTTAGAAAGCTAGTTGATTAAGCAGGGTTTCAATACATACCTGTGTGCGTGCAACATAAGGCTCAACTATTTCCATGTTTATAACTATGCATTTTAAGAACATTTATAAACCAAGATGGAGTAACAGGAATAACAGAGTACCTTCTAAGCTTGCAACCTTAGTCAACCTGACTTGTTATATGCAAAACAAAGCCACACATCTTTTATATACTAAACAATAGTGCAGCACAGAACTTTTGGGAGCCATGTGGTTCCTGTAAAACCTGTGGCTATTTTACAGGGTTGCACATATTTTTGTCTTCCATCATACCATTTTGCCTTCAAATCCAAAGCACTGCACAACCCATCTAGACAAACCTAGTTTACAGATTAATGCCAAGCAATTAAATTGCATTCCACAGAAAAGTGGGGGGAAGGCCATTTTATGTCAAGTCCTGAACAGGTTCAGTTCTGATCAGGTATTCTGCACTCAGAACTGCGGTACCTTTCTAGCAATTTTCATGCACATTCTAGCTCCATAATAGTGTTTAGTAACATTGATATGTACTCAACATGCCTCCTTTCCAATACAAAAGATTGTACAACTTTTCATACGATACATATGTTTAGACATCCTTTGCAAGGCCCTAATGCCATGGCTGCACTCCAGAGCTTGGAGTCAACGTGTCTGTTGAATCAGTTTTATTGAAATATTTCTGCTGCATTTGTATTGGGTTTTTTAATTTATTTTTTAAAATACTCTCGTCTGCCAATTGCAGCTGAAAACAGATAAACCCTTTCCTTTTTCAGCAACTGTTACAAGCTGTATTTTCGTACCTATCGTTACCTGACGTGTGAAAGGAAAAACATTGGGCCCAATTTCTACCATTATTGCAGAAGAATGGAAGTAGTATTTTAATGATATCATCACTTGAAATGAAGGCCATTTCAGGAGGATGGTATCTGCTTAATCAGCTAGCCGTACCATTTCCAGTCCCTCCCTGATTCACCCTTCTTACACCAGCATAGGGTTTAGGAACCATACCACCCAGCTGTGGGTTTGTAAACTTGAAAGACCACCACAAAACGATAGGTTTGAACTCTGCTTTACTGATGTATAAAGTGGCATCTGACAACCTGATACATCCCTTAACAGCAGGTAATGTACATAGACTTACAGAGTGCGCTGTAAGGAAGCATGACTCAACTTGAACACAAGACAGCTCAACAACAGGAGCACAAGCAACTCTTGGTAGCTTCAGTTGTGTGGAGTGCGCTGATGGGAACAATTTCAATGGCTTGGCTCGCCTATGTAAGTTTCATGAGCAAAATCTGTTTTTCCCAATTCTTCCTATGTTGTCAAAACCAGAACAATCTATTCCTAAACTCTGAAAAAATATTCACTGATGTCCCTCAGTTCTACTGGCAAGGAGAAACAGGAGATTTAGATTTGCTTTCTAAAACTTCCAAGGGACAGGGTAGGTTGCTCGTGTCAACCCTTACTGGAGTGTGTTGATCTAGTCAAGTGATGTGTGTCATGGATTACGATGGAACAAGCACTCCTGCGTATCACAGGAACACAGCAAGAACTAGCGAGGCGCTACAAGTTCGAGTGAGCTATGATGTAGGAGAGCTCCTAAGTGGAGTGTTTTGGCGGAGTGCTGACAACACAGACTTACAGAAAGAAGAGAGATTGGGAGGGTGGGATTTAGGGCAAGTATGACATCAAGCCTTTGCCTAAAATGCCATACCAGTTAAGCAAACCAAGATTCCTAGTTTCTTTGCAGAGTAGATAGCTAGAGAAGAGAAACTGGGCAACCCAGGCCGCTGGATTCTACTGGCTTCTAACAAAATAAGGCAGGATAGCCCAGGGCAAAGAAGAAACGGGAGAGGTTCCACTTATCAAACTATTTCAAGTATTTCTAAATTGAAGTCTCTTTTCCCCCAGTTACTGCACTTGATGGCTTAGGGCAGTCACTATCCGCTCTACAGACAAGAACAATATTGCAAGCAGTTACTGGTCTAATGCAAGAGGGAAAGGTGGCGAGACAGGAGGAGGGGGTGGTCATCACTGGGATCCATTTTACGGAACAGGCACAACACGCATGGTGTTGGTGTAACCAGATCCAGGGCGCCAACCAGTAAGCACTATGACCAGATCTCCTGACTTGAAGAATCCACGAGCTTTGCCTAGAGGGGGCCAAAAAACAAACAAAAAAAAAGTGAGAAAACATGACCCTAAAGAGTGAGTAGCTTATATTGCTGCTAACGTAGAACCTAGTGCAGTGTTGTCCAAACTTGGCCACTTTAAGATGTGTGGACTTCAACTCCCAGAATTCCCCAGCCCGGAAGGCTGGCTGGG